TTAAGGTTTGCTGTACCCATTTATCGGTAACAAAAGAGTCATTATCACTTCATGAATTTGAAATTAGATGAAAATAAAGTTCTTTTTTGTTCGATTTAATTTAAACTCTGTCATTAATTGCATAAGAAAATTTTCAAAAAAAAAAGTGTTAAGCCCCCCCCCCCCCTCAAAAAAAGTCGATTTTCGTCAAAAAATTGAAAATTGAGATAACACGATGGCGTGATAGCCCATGTTCTGCTCTTTCAGAATCACTAGCTTTTTTCCCAAAGACCATTTTTTGACCGAAATTTTTAGTGATCTTTGAGAGGCCCTCTATGTCAAAAACAGCAGTATAATTAGGTCTTTGATCTCTAATGAATGATTGATTAATTAATTAATTAAGCGCTCAGCGTGTGCAGAATTAAAAGTTACGTATGAAAGTTAGGTCAATTTCCTCAAAAAACATGTGAAAATTGCAGAAAATTTAAAAAAGCAGCAAAACTTCGAAAAAATGTTTTTATGTTTTTCTCAAAATCATGTTTTTCCATTTTCCATCCAATTTCTCATGCTTTCAACTATGTTTTTTCGAATTTTTCTTTTTATCATTCGATAGAGCATGCAAAGACGCAGGGTATGACGTGCTCAGATTTTTGAAAGAGCTTTTTTTTATGCCCAAAAAAGATCGCCTACAAAATTTACTTGCAGTTTTTTAGGCGTTTTTCAAGGAGTTTGAATTCTGGAAACTTTTTCGGCTTACAGAAAGGACTTTTTAAAAATCCGAGCACGTCATGCCCTGCATCTTTGCATGCTCGATCGAATGGTAAAAAACAAGTTTTGAAAAAACATAGTTGAAGGCATGAGAAATTGGATGGAAAATGGGTCATTTTTAACCGGTGTTCACTTTATAACTCCCTTAAACTTCCATATTTCTGGCTGAAATTTTTATCGTAGACTACTCGCTATAGTCTCAGCATATCCTGAAAATTTCAGTCGATTTGGACTTTCTTTGGCGAAAATCTACCTTTGAGGGAGGGGGGGGGCTTAAAATTGATTCAAATGACCATATGAATAGCTTGCTTTTGTTTATAATACCTAGATAAATATATTTTATTCTAGTTGAGCTGAAATGGAATACTGTTTTGTTTGAATTCCATTGATGAAAATCTGCCATTCGATATCTTACAATGCCTCCTATTCACATAATATTAATTATGTATCTTCATGTTTGTTTGAAGAGAGTTTCTATAGGAATATTTTCAATGACTCCAATATGTTACATATTAGAAAAAATATAAATTTCTATGCAATCTAATTAGAAGGCTGATTGCCTAAAACTAGTCAAGTCAAATTTTTAGCTTATGTCTATGTAAGCTGTAAGTAAAGATCAGCCGTTGATCTTATTTTAATTCCGCATACCTACTGTCAAGAACTTTCTCTTTAGATTATTCTATAGATCATTAATAGGAGTGCGCAATCGTGTAAGTCACGAACCTTTTCTAGCTATGTTTCTAAAGATAAAAAAAATTGCACATTCAAAAGAATATGTAACTATTCATCATATTTTAAATAGTCCGTTTGAAAGAATTTTTTAATTTAATATGAGTGAAAAAATAATATACATTATCGGTCGACAATATAGTCAACTATCATTTCGTGAAATTGAAATAGATTCAGCTAAAATGTTCTTTTTACATAATACATCATTAGCTACTTTCTAGGGAATGTCAATAAAATATTTTTAAAGGAGAAAATGTTTCTCTTAAGGGCGAGCTGTAGTTCATTGTACTGTCAACTAGCTAATTCATCCGAAGGAAAGAAATCTTTATTTTCCCGGTGATCTATCAAGCTAACGATGGGATGAACTTCACTTTATCTTGAAGCAAAACCCTACGTTTTTTTTTCTTAGACTTACTTAATACTTTGTAGTATGTCATAAACAATATACCACATACAGAACAGCTCAACTCCTTTAATTCGATTTCACAAAGTGACGCAAATATTTACCAGTAAAAATCGACTATTGTCAATTGATAAATTGTATCACTTTCTATTTAGATTGATCTCAATCTTTAAGTAACATAAGATACTTCAAATAATTTGCAGTTCTTCTTTGCCTATGAGGACGCTTCATGTACGAATTGAAAGCTCTGATTATATTATTGCAACCGAATAACAAGAAAATGATGAAACCAATTGAAAATTTGGCAGATTAAAACAAATGAAGTCACGGTATATACAACATAATTTTAAAAGAAATGTTGATAATTTAAGTAGTTAAGTTATTAGATTATCGATCGATGGAAAATTAATTAATTAATTAAAGTTCTATTAATGACGATATTAATAGTTATGAGAATTTCATGAAATATTTTCGAATTTCGATTTGAAGTTCATTTAAATCTCTAATCATTTCATGTTGAAAAAACGTTTACTCAGCTATGAAGCGAATTAATATATGTTAAATGAAACTTCATTATGAGACAAAAAAAAACGATTTCCTCACCAGCATGCAGTAAATGATTGCACGAGAAAAAAAGCTATAATTGAGAAAGTATTTTTCTTACAAACACAACATACTAATTAGCAAAATGCTAGTTCGATATTGTACTGTAAGAAGAGAGAAAATAATGCACTAGTCTGAGATAAATAGTTAGCTTCTTAACCTATTATTTTAGCGTTTAAGTGCATTTGAGTATGCTCCTGTAGGTCATCCAAAAGTTTTTAGACTATGAAAACTTTATTTAAAATAATGAATTAATTGATTTTTAATCAAAAATGTTGAACTCACTTTTACCTGTTGGCGGCCCCTCGTCGTGAATAGACATTTCTTTTTATTGAAAATAACTTACTTCTGTCTTTCCTGTAAATATTTTTATTATGAAGAACAAAGAAAAGGTACTGCACCACACAGTTACTCATTATTTGCCAAGAATAGGACACTCAACACCCGCAATATTACATTGAAGAGTCAAAATAATAGAAATTTCTTAAATTATTATCGATAAAAAATTCCATAAGTTTCGTGTTACTTTTTATTGCTATATCGTTAGAATTTTCTATAAATTTTACATTATGTTTTTATTGAGGAAGGAAACTATGTGTTAAAATAGAAAAATTTCCTAGGACTCTCTTGGTGCTTTTCTTCATGTAGCAATCTAAAGTAAATTGCCACAATGCACTAAGTCGTCTGTAATAATATATTTCATTATTGAGTTGATATGATGTCACACGATTAAATCCATCATTAAAAGTATACTTATTGACTTCTGACAATAACAAAATATATTCATGCGACTAGATACCATAGAAACTTTTTCTGTCATGTTTTCTCATCGGTTCTAACAGATGATAAATGATGTTTTTTCCCTAATCGCTCAGATTTTTCTTCGAGTCACTCGTTCGAATATATATAATTATATATATGCGTCTCCTTGTCATTCTAGAATGTAGGTAAACTTGATAGTATTTGCTTCTCTTTGTTTTGTTTTTTTGTCAAAAACATCTAATTGAAGTATGACAGTTTCTATTTTCAATGAGTTCACTTTATAGAATTCATTGTATCATTTTGATGATTGACCGTTTTCGCTAGAATTTTTATCTGATTATCACGACTTTGCATAAATGTAGGTCATTAGCGTTGATTGATCAACTCTGTATAGAGAAAGAGAATGCAATGCTATAAATGAACGAAAACAGAAGGACACTAGTAATCGTCCTCGTAATATTTCCTAAACAGATAGTATTTTTAGTAATAATATGTTTTTTGATGATCATGTTATTGTTTTTTCCTTTGGCGTATATAGTTATAGTCGGAGAACAAGTTATTCACAGAGAAATGATAGCCGATCGTTCAATCGTATCTAAGAAATTACTTTATCTAATTATATGTTCATCATTTTTCTATGAACTAAAATGCTTCATAGCTTTTATTATCGATAGTATTATTTATCCTGAAGGTGTAGGATGAACTTGCTCGATGTGGTAGCACAACGTCCAAGCAACATAGATAGTTTGATCAAGTATAGAAAACCTAAGAGACATAGATTTTTTATTGATCACTGTAAATCTAATTTTTTACATTTGATAATTTATTGTATTTTCTGTTATGGCAAATCGTAAGAGAAACACTTCAAAACTAGTCGAGAGAGAAAAAAAGGAAAAATAATATACTTTTAGAGGCTATTTTTATATAATTATTACCATTACCTTTCTTCTATGTTCTATTTCTTATGAAGTAGAAGATCTAGGCATCTGTATCTACGCCTGCAAACATCCGCATCTGGAATACTATCTGTTTAACGTATAGATCTATCATTATTCGCGAGCAATGATGCTTTTATATTTATCCTATTTCTTATCTCTATCTAAATTGGATTCATGAGGAGAAGAAGAGTTACATATGAAAATCATATTTTTAAATTGACACGAGACGTTTAATTTCCATATGATATTACTAATGGTATCAATCAGTGTTCCTACTTCATATTAACATTAAGGTAAACGGGCGCTTCAATTGCGTTCGAGTATATTTGTATGAACTGCTACTTATGTCACGGTCACCTTCGGTTATGATTTAATCCGAAATCATATGTAATCTCTTGATTTCGAATAAGTTATCTGTTCGAGTAAGTTTGCATTATATCCGAGCTAATATTTCTTCTTTTCTCTCTCTCTCTCTATATATATATGCAAAAGAAATGAACTCTTGAGGAATCCAGAGTAAGATAATGAAGATTTTTTAGAAAATTTCCACATAATTAGTTCACAATATATGTATATGTATTTATCTTTACATCAATGAATATCACAGTCAAAATTTGCTGTAAAATGATTTTCATTATGATGAAGAATAAAAGAAATTATCCGGTCGATGTATTTTTTCTTCAAATATTAATTATGAAATATGATATCATTACTAGCTATGCTTTTTTTTTCTTTTCCTCTTTCAGATTCTTAACTTTATAATAGTAGTATGACAAAAACAACAAGAAAAAGTTTATATTTACAAACAATTTAAACCAATGGACATCGAGACAGTTAACAATTCGAAATTATCAAAATCGATTATTAGTCCAACATTTACATGGTGTTTCTTAATGCCAACCATACATGCCTTGAGTTTAATGTCGAATATACTTTGCATCGGTGTTTTCTGTTCAAGCACATTTATTAAAAAGCCAATAGCTATTTATTTTATTTGCTTATTACTTAGTGATTCAATAACATTATTAATTGGTTATATTGAAATGATCGATAGAGAATCCCATATGATCGATAAATCCTCGTTGTTATGCATGTTTAATGAAAACATAATTCATCAATTAACTAATTTTATTTATACATTTATGGGACGATTTTGTGTTGAATGGATGTTATATAAAGTTTTATGGACACGCGCATCAACAATTGTACTTGCTATATTAAGTGTACAACGATCAAGAACATTTTTCTCGTTGTCCTACCGTGAAACTCGTGTATATGCATTTTTTGCATGTGTATTTAGTATTATAATGGCATTAACAATAACATTTTTAGAATGGGTTGGAGTTGAATATAAAAAGGTTAATAATTCAAGTATATATGTTGAAATTTATGAATCGATTATGTATAGAAATTCATCAGAACAATTTTATTCTATATATTTACATCAAAATTACAATGAATCATTAGTAAATTATCCTTGTATAATGGAATCATTCGCTACAACAGTCTTTTCTACTTTTAATAATCAGGTAAAATGATGAATCCTTTGTCTAACGAGAAAACAAGAATCATTAACTAAAATAGCACATCATTCTGAAAAATATTCAACTAGTTGTACAAACTAAAACTCGTATTAGATCTCATTTATTACTACTGAGACTTAGTTTAGAATATTCATGTTTAATGAAAGAATTAAATCTGAATATATATATATATATATATATTTCCCAAATGCATTCATGAGCTCGAACATCATCGTTCAAAAAAAAAATGCACACACACAAAATTGGAGTGGTTAAAAGAAAACAATCTCTTGTGAGAATTCTTTATCTAAACGATTTAGATTGGAATCGATCTATAGGAATTTTATCTTCCAGAAGAAACAAACAAGTGTATTTCATATAGAGACAAACTGCATTAGTAAAAAATACCTGTTCACAATAGTATCAGTAGGAGAGAAAAAAATGAATTTAGATTAAAAGTAATTAGGCTCAATGGTTGGAACCATCTCATAAATAGTGAGAAAGCGCGCTGAGAATATCCACTATATTAAATAACAGTTAAATATTCAAAAAAACATATAGGTAATCTAAGAAGTTATTTGTCTTTGTGAAAAATTGAAAAACTATTGCACTTCTATGAAAATTCAATTGAAATGTAATGGAAATCATGTCGACAATCAAAAAACAAAAGATCGACCTAGATGAATATGAATACAAAAGAAAAGTAAATGTATTATATTTATATATATACAGTGGCCGTAAAAATTGTCCAACCACCTAAAAAAATTTTTCTATTTCTTCTATATTTGACAAAGTGAAGTGACTGGAAGTTTGTAACTTTTACCATGTTGTAGACCACAGTGTCTAGTACGTTTGTGTTTAGTTTCATATCAGAACTTCGTGTTGTTGATTTTTTATTAAAATGAAAAAAGGTATGTCATATACTGCAAGCGTCAAAATCATCCGACCATTGGTATTTTTGTTCTATGTTTGCGCTCATCTAAATATAAAGTTTTCTTTATCTTACACCATTCGAAAGAGCATTCTACACGATGTGCTAGTTTGTTTTGCGTTGGCATACAGAAAAAGTCTTACAAGATAGTGTTTTGAGCAGTCAGCTACGTCTTTATGAGTGAAAGGCTGTGGGCAGACAATTTTTTCTACTAACGATCGGGCAAATCTAATGGATAATGCACTGTTAGGAAGAGCATTAGAAACTACATTAGATCGGATTTTTAAATGAATAGGGTGTGACGCCTATTTGAGATGACCAGATCCAGAATGTACACCAAAATGGATATAGCTGTCCATGTATTGTCTCTTTATCCGGCTGAAAAATCATTTGGAGTTTTCAAAAAGGCCTTAATTTAGTATAGAATTGTTTTCTTTGCATAGGCTACTTCGAACAATCTGAAACAGATTGCATTCTCAACGTTGACAATGAATTTTTCAGCACATATGACAAAAGTAATAATTCGCTCATAGCTTGAACAAGAATTTGAATACATATTAAATGAAATAGAAAGTTATTGAATAAGATTATACCTGAAATTTCACTTGAAATTCAATGCTGTATCCATTGATACACCGTGTGTTAAAATTCTCCTCAGCGTTCATTTAATATGAATCTAGGTTGTAATGAGGTGCTTCGATGAATTTTTATTTTTGCCATATGCGCTGAAAAATTCATTGTCAACGTTGAGAATGCAATCTGTTTCAGATTGTTCGAAGTAGCCTATGCAAAGAAAACAATTCTATACTAAATTAAGGCCTTTTTGAAAACTCCAAATGATTTTTCAGCCGGATAAAGAGACAATACATGGACAGCTATATCCATTTTGGTGTACATTCTGGATCTGGTCATCTCAAATAGGCGTCACACCCTATTCATTTAAAAATCCGATCTAATGTAGTTTCTAATGCTCTTCCTAACAGTGCATTATCCATTAGATTTGCCCGATCGTTAGTAGAAAAAATTGTCTGCCCACAGCCTTTCACTCATAAAGACGTAGCTGACTGCTCAAAACACTATCTTGTAAGACTTTTTCTGTATGCCAACGCAAAACAAACTAGCACATCGTGTAGAATGCTCTTTCGAATGGTGTAAGATAAAGAAAACTTTATATTTAGATGAGCGCAAACATAGAACAAAAATACCAATGGTCGGATGATTTTGACGCTTGCAGTATATGACATACCTTTTTTCATTTTAATAAAAAATCAACAACACGAAGTTCTGATATGAAACTAAACACAAACGTACTAGACACTGTGGTCTACAACATGGTAAAAGTTACAAACTTCCAGTCACTTCACTTTGTCAAATATAGAAGAAATAAAAAAATTCTTTTAGGTGGTTGGACAATTTTTACGGCCATTGTATATGATTTCAATTATGTTGGTAATTATTTTTCAAGATACTATGCCTTTTTGTAAAATTTCAGTCGTTTTTACTCGAAGTTCAATTATTTTCAATAGGACTCAAAGACTAGTATTCTCAAGTCAAAAGAAAATAGTAATTTAGTTGTGTTTTTTCTTTGCATGGAACTCCATACCAGGAATATTAACTTCAGTTTAAATATAGATCAAAAATAATGTGATTTTATTAAATCATATTTTTGTATCTCTAAAAAAAGGGTCGAGGTTTATTAATTAAGATGAATCTGATATGTTATTGGTAGCAATTTCCTCGGTTTTGTCTAAGCGAAGAAAATTTTAAATATAATTTGGTATTTGGACGAGATATCATGCTTTTCTTCAACTCCTATTGATTTTTTTATAGAATGAAAAACTAATTAATATTACCTTTAGAAGATTTCGAATATGAATTTTTATGGAATTATTTCAAACAACAAAAATTTTGTAAACAGATATAATTCAGATAATGGGTGTGAGCGTCATCATTTTTTCTCTTAATGACACTGCTTAGTTAGGAGGCGAAGATTAATTGAACCCCTCTCTTGATGACAAACTCATTATAAAGTGCAATATAGTTGTGTCGAATTTGAGATTTCATTCTCTTGTTTTCTTCTTCTGTTACGCGATGGTAATAAGAAGAAAAAGAATGTGATGATGATGTATCTAATAAATTACACAGGTTGTCATAAAATTCAATGTTTTATCCTTGTTATTTTTCTCCGAATATACTTGGAAACATCAGTGAAACATTATTTTCTCAAGTAGTCTTTTTCGATTGGCCATTATTCAAAGGATTGTGATTATATCATCATAAATTAATGGCGCATCTTATTGCAATTTTGTCATCTGCGTAATATTTTCAATACTTGAGAATCTTGTCGAAAATAGAATTTTTCCTGTAAGCAAAAGTTTCATTATGTTTACGAAAAAAAAATGACTTCTAGTTTGTGTAATAAAAGCCTTTTAAATTCACGTTCGAATGTAATTTTCCATTGAAAATGTATCAATTAGTTAACAAATACGGAATGATAAGATTCATCAAAATACATCTAAAAAAAGTCGTTTTAACTCTTTTCCTAAGATAACGTCGTAATGATAAGCATGGGAAATAGAAAGACATACAAATAGACTAAGAATTTTTTCTATTAAAAAATACGCAAATTCTAAAAGATCATATTCAAGGACTTCCGATCTATAATTTATATACTGTTTCACATCTTCGAGTATTTAGACTTTATAGAAAAATTTCATCTAATGGCACATACGTAAATTAGCAAATTTTTTAGAACAGCACTTGGTGATATTTTCATTCAAGTACTACTATTAAGTTTTCACAGACAATAGATGAATGCATATTCATCATTACAAATCTTTGGTTAATAATTACTATTAGAAATAATATTCATAGTAGCGCCTCATGAGAATCGTCCTATAGAAATTAAATTCGTTGTAACCCTGTAGGCAAGAATATCATAGTCAATCGATATGATTTATTAAATAAAAATTGAATATTTTCTCTGACTATTAATTAAAAATTATGCTTTGTTTTTGTAGTCTAACTGTTCATCGAATGTAGCCGCAAAGGAATTTTATATGTTAACAAAATCAATTCTATCCAATCGGGATTCCGATAGTACAGAAGATGCAATAAAATTATTAACGAGTATTATTTCTGATGATTATAATCTATCAAATAATTCACTATTAAAACAACAAGAACGAATAACTAAATCACCGGATTTCATACCAAGATTATTCGAAAAACGTTCATGTCAAATTGCAATAAATTATGCGTTTTGGTTAAAAGCATTTGAGTTTTTTAACTCTGTATCATTTTCATTTAATCGACATGCCTTAGCAATATTTTTCGGTAATGCATTACCATCGTTTATTGTTGTTCTTGCAAATCTCTTATCTATAAAAGCCATATTCTTTTCGAAAAATGTAAAATATTTAAAACAAGCTGCAAGCAAAAATCGCGGTAAACGTCGTTTTCAAAGTGATTTACGTGCATTTCTTGTTATTTTATTTGAAAGCTTCTCAATTATTATGATATCATGGGGTGTACCAATATTTTTAACAATGTATCATTGCCATACATTGTATGTTGTAAATCTATCACTATGTACAAAAATAAAAGATTACTTAGCATTATTTCTTTTTACCGATTTATTTAATTCGTCAACAAATTCTTTGTTATATTCATTATCAGGAAAATTGTTTCGAAGAAAATTTATATTTATTCTTAAAGCTATATTTACATGTGGACGTGGGATATTATGGCACAGAAATCGACCACAATTACTACGGTCAACTAAAACACCTCAGCAACAACTATCGAATAATCCATCGACAATCATAAATAATTATAATAGGAATAATAAACATCGACTATCAGGATCATCGGGAAGTTTTCTATATTCAGAAGGCGTGCCAATATCACTTAATAATAACTCAAAGGAAAAATTCGATGATAAATTTCAAATGAAGAGAACAACGTACAAACAGATACAGAAACAAGATAACAATCTATGTAATCATAGCACGTTAAATACGTCTAAAGTTAGTTTTGATCATCCGGCTGAAAACGATTCGTCCAGTGATGTTGAACCAGAAATGCCACGAAAAATAAAAGACAATCAAAGCAGAACACATCCTCAATCAATAAAATTATTTATTATAAATAAAGTGCGGTTTCTGAGCGTATCAAATTCTTCAAGCAGCAAAACTACTGTATTAAAACGTCCAGCAGCAATATTGACTTTTGATAAGCAAAAAAGTAAATCAAAAAATTCAACGTTCGAACCAATGACTTTAAATCAGCAAAGAGCAACTGATTTATCATTACCATCATCTTCTATTATTGGAAGTAATACTCATAGTTCACAACGAAAATGTTTATTAATTGATCATCATTCACTGTCAAGATTAGCATCACGTAGAAGTGTTGATAATCAATCAACAGTGAAACAAAATAATTTTGAAAATTTGACAAGTCTTTGAAGTTTTGCTGTATTGATTAATAATTTGTTTTTTTACATCGTTGTCGTTTGTAATCAGTAAATAAGACTATTGATTTGTTTACATCATTTATTATGGAAAAATCATGTTTATGAGATCTATCTTGTCATTGTTAAGAACAAGATTTGAACGTTTTTGCAATTAATTATTCGGGTAAAAACTAAAGTGAGATTAAAAACAGAAAAAATTTCCTAATAGAACCAGTGTTTTATCCAGCTGGAGGGCAAAATGTCCTTTGCCCTCCCGAGAAAAATGAAATAAACAATTAACTTACAAAACACAGATCTTTTGAACGCATCAGTATGATAGACTCGATATTAATCATGATAGTTCGCCCCTTAAAAAACTTTAACCTGCCCTCCCGGAGTGAAAAATCTCGGTAAAACACTGAATAGAACTATTAGAATAACTAAGAAAATTTGTTTCTTTAGTAATAAAACTGCCGCGAAAAGCATCTGTCATTCTCTAGAGATCACACTGGACTCATTTTGTACCAACATATTTTAGCTCAACAATACATGATTTATAATTACATTTTAATATAATGAAAACTCTATTTGCAACATAGGCGGCGGAACGATTTCGATCTAGGGTAGGCTCAACGTTTTGGACACATCAAGTATCACCATTGAAAAAAAAATAGAGTTGAAGTCAGACTGAAATCGACTAAAAGCACTTTAAGTGCCAATTATAAGCATACGATTTTGATCGCCTTTTAATCATTTTTGTTTAGCTCGCATTTCTGCACGGCACAACTTGCGCCGCACAAGTAATGTTATTCAAGTGTCTAAGATTTAAAAGTAATTTTAAACAGAAGTTACAAAAACAATTCAGCTATCTTAAATTAAGAATTACGAATTAGATGTCAATCTTAATGCCAAAAACGTTCAACTAATACTTCACTGCGAACGAGTTACTAGTAGAGAAAATATGAAATGATCTTGTAATAATGCGTTATTTGTTAGAAAAGCCCCAAAACTGAAAAAGAATAAAACCATTTTGCACATAACAACCTATCCAAACATTTATCTGTTCCAGTTTCAGTCTATCAAGGCCTACCCACTTTTAACCTAGGATAGGCTTGAGCCTTGCGAGCCTAATGGCTCCGCCACCTATGATTTGCAACCTGTATATTTTAGCATTTATTGAAAGTGTTTAAAGTTTTTCTTTAAATTCTTTGAGCTCATGGTCGAGTACATCAAATATTAGTCAGAATTTGATTTCAGGTTAATATAAAACAGCAACAGTTAAACTTTTGGTGAACGACATTAAAAAAAATAAAAAGAGACGAGGCTCTTTACTACTAACTGAATGTCATGGGGTTCTCATTTTAAAAGATTAAACCCTCGAATGTGCCATCGTAAACTATATTCCTACAGGTTCCAGCTAGTTAACATTTATTTCTAGAAACACAATTTTCAACAGCATACATTTTGATAGATCTTATTAATTTTGATTAAGCACAAACCTTGTGACGCCTACATGCGTCGATCGTGTTTTGTGGTGTTATGCATCTACTAGAAATCCGTATTCCATTAGATAACATGAATTATTTTGTTTTACTTGCTTGATATACCAAGAACATTTTGGAGTCTGAATATTTAAAAAGAAGATTTAATCGTATCACATAGTTTTAGATAAAAAATAAAGTATCTTTCGTTTGGAAAAGTTTAGGTTCTTTCATATAAAAAGGTAATTATGTATTTATATTTGAAATATGATCTCTTCGTAAACGTAAGCGTCGTACTTAAGACTTGGATGCAATACTAATCTCAATATAATATGTAAGTCATGGATATAGGAGAGTACAATGTGGAAAATTTTGCGTACTTCATCTACTCGACACAATTGATATTGTTCAGGTTATCAGAAAAATCACCATCATTCGCGTGAGCCTATTAACACTCGTTAAGCGTCAGTGACGTCAAAGCTATCATGGCAAAATATTTGGCTTAAAAATAAACTCTTATAATGCTATTAAGAGCCTGTCATGTGGTCACCTTAATGGCAAGCTTTATCATTCGTTGTGACTTTCTATAAATTGATTAAATTGTCATGCAATATTTTCTATAAACTATTTTGATGACCTCCTATTCTTGAAGCATATCGGGAACTTTTGTACGAAAAGATAACAGTCAGCAAAAAAACATTTATAGAATTCATTGGAAATAGAATGTATTTATCATCATTTTAAAGATAATATTCAAGTGGTTCCGAGCATATACTAATCGAACAATAATGCATCTATATCTCTAGTTGAAAGACTTATTCGAGAAGGTACTATTTGAACCTACGGATAATCTTCAGGAGTAAACTCCTCATTAAAAAGCACTTCTTTTTTCATAAAAAGTCCTTGAACCTATACTTTGCATGAGCATCCTCTATTATTGTCTGGAATGACACTAATAGCTCGCTTTGACAAACGAACATTGGAAAATTATCGACAGAAAATGTGATGGATAAAAGAAATCTAAATTTTTGAACAATGTTTATTAGACATTGACTAAGTAATATCTATCCGGCAAGCTTAGCTCAGGAAAAACAGACTTAATTTTGAATTAAAGATAACCGCACATTCCAATAGAGAAAGGAACGTAATTATAATTAAATTTTAATTCTAAGGTACAGTAGTTTTATGAACCTTTAATGAAAAACTGTCTTCGCCATTGTTCTAATTGTATTCTATTGAAAATAAAAGAATTCAATGACTAAATTAAGATATCATTAATTTTAAAATACTTGCATTGATATTCTTTCTTTTATATCAATAGATCATATTTTATAGGATGACTCAACTAATTTTTGAAACCAAAAGAAAGAAAATTAAGAAAATTTTCTTTTTATCTTTCAGTCTGCAATGACTTATACTTGGATGTATATCTACCGAACTGCTTATCCTCAGCTGACAACAACACTCAAACAAAAGTTAAAAAATAGCATAAATATCTTTACTTAGATTTCAGCTCATCGTCAACCTCTCGACCCTCATCAATACATACTCGTGTCGATGATGTTTTTTCTTCTTGTAACACTCAAGACAGTATAACGTAATAATCTCTTAATTATCTCATCCCCGTAAGTGGATAATAAAGAATATCTTTTACGCAAGGCCACATTTTTACTGACTCTAATGTATTTAACAGCAGTTCGCCTACTTCAACACTATCAAAATTTCAATAATTTTGCTACCGTGAAACTATTTAACAACAACTTGTGATAACATGTCATTGAGTTGCTCAGTATCTCATTACAGGCTATTCTTTCTCGGACAGAAATTCTAAGAAAAAATTCAAGAAAATGACCGTTCGATTTCCGTTGAATAGTGTAATTAATCGTATTACGATAACACGTTTTCTCAATTCTCATCATTCTATGCATAACCATGTCGCTGTAGTGATTTGCAGATTTATTAGACGACACAGGTTTGCCTATATCAAAAACTATTTATGTCTATCTAAATTTATGTAAAACATCAACAATCTATTCAAGAATTATAGCAACAAAAAAATGTATTGAAATAATATTTCGATCTTGATCGTGACATATTGCAAGGAAAGATTTCCATCCACTTATAATCATTAAATTCAATGAACTCAATTCTCATTAATACTATGATACAAAGAGTCTGAGGTTATTGACAATCGCTATGATTGTTTCCTGATATAGCCCATACAAAAATTCTTATGTATACCAAGTGATTTTAACGACATTTTTAGATTAATCGAGAAAATCAATAACATTTCCGAAGTTTAATTAAATAAAAGATTTTGCCGCATTCATCAATTTGATTTCTTCGTCATCAAAAAACAAGTACACATGTCTTCGTTTAGATCATCAGTTAATAAAAAAAAAAAAGAGAAAACATTCAACAACCGCCTGCGGAGGTGCTGATTGGTTTGATCATTCATCTTTCATAAAATATACAGAAATGACACCAGCTTGATGATCATGTAAAATATATTTTATCCATTGGCGATTACTTGTTATCAACAATCGAATAACAAATTAGACGATTCGTCGTCACAGACTAAAACAACATATCAGTAAATTGGAAGCAGCCTCATCTTCTATCAATCTATTAGCCCAGCAGGTTGTTTCTTTCTCTCTCCTTCTCTTCTATTTATCAATTTTTTTCACACCTATCCTCATTTATAACTAGCCGTGCATCTTCATGTTTCCATCATAGCTAATCAATTCATCAACTTCGACAAGTCCCCTATCATCAAGAAGACAATCGACGATAGTTTGCAACACAATTCTACTTGATCTTTTTCTTTCTGAATACTTTAAATTTCAATCTCTATTACTTTTGTTTTATAGGTTGACATAGAATGTATCAACAAGCAGAACAGGAAGCTCTTCTCGGTAAGCTAGTCGACGGTATTTGGGCAACAAATAAGACGTTTTTTTCAGCTGGTCATGGTCGTGTTAATCAACTTGGTGGAGTTTTTATTAATGGTCGTCCCTTACCTGATTATATTCGTCGGGAAATTATTGAAATGGCAACGAAAGGAATTCGTCCTTGTGTAATTAGTCGTCAAGTAAGCAGTCACTACGAAAAGTCTTCTAAATTTGTTTTTTCTCTTCATATTTAGCTTCAAGTATCTCATGGATGTGTATCGAAAATTCTCTCCCGTTATGCCGAAACAGGTTCTTATAAGCCTGGTCCTATTGGTAATGGAAGTAACAGAAGACAAGGTAAAGAAACTAATCGACAACATCGCAATGAAGAACAACCAGCAACTGAAGAATCCGATGAAAGCAAAAGTAAGTTTTCGGTTTTCGTATTGCTGTAATCTATCTTTCGAACGATTCGTTTAGACAATTCACTTGAAGATTCATTACCATTACGTCCTGTTAGAAATATGGCTAGTAATTCACGTCGGTACCGTTCAACGTTCAATGCCGAACAAATTGATATTCTTGAACAAACATTTTCTCATACACCTTATCCGGACGTAACGACACGTGAACAACTTTCACAACGTTTAAATATTGAAGAAAATCGTATTCAAGTATGTAGTTGATCACTGACCGTCTCTAGAATTTAGAATTGTTTCTTTTTTCAATTAACAGATATGGTTTAGTAATCGACGCGCACGCACTCGTAAAGTAACTACAACGAATTTATCAAGTGCTTCCACATCTAATTATACGAATGATGAAGAAAATACGATTCCATGTTTTCTTGAATCGCCAGTTATGGATATGAAACCATTCTTAATGCCTGATAATGTTTTCGATCCATCAATAACATCGAGTCCATCATCAAGTATGTGTTAGATGTTTGTCGTAAAAAAATTTAATTAGCGTCATTTCTCTTGTAGATTATTGGCCACCAACTTCTGCAATGTATTATGGATCACCAAGTGCTTCCTATCCGTCTATGACTAATCAATACTATTCAGCATATGCTTCTCCAACTACTTCATCTGTGTATCCAAATTATCCGTTATCGTATCCGAGCTATCCGTCATGCTATTAGATTAACTTTTTTTGTATATAATTCTCGTGAATATTTATATTTTTTCGGCTTGTACTACGCGGTCAGTAGTTTGAAAATAAAATTCAATTTACTTTTCTAATATAAAATATTGTAGTGATGTCTTATGATTTATTCAAAATACGTTTCAGTTCAGCGTCTGAGAAGAGATTTAAAAGTATTCTGTCGTAACTGGAACTTGTTGAATATCTGCTCTACGTTAAGGGTTTTAGTTGTTTTCGTTGAAGTTTGAAGAAAACGTTGCATAACAGAATTTTCTATCACGGATGAATATATCATCTTTAATTAATTCGGATGAATTTACGAATAAATGTAGACTTGCAACAAGGAGATGGTTCGTTTTCGTTACTATCTAGATGTTTTTCTTGAGGGTTTATGAAATTAGCATTGCAGATTGACGATTTCACTGTGATCATAATTTTAACGTTTCATAGAGAAAATATGTTATCATTTCGTTTCAATAAATAATTATTTGCACTAAACACTATCTAAGAGTTATTTCTAAAATCTATTGCTGTTCTACGAAGCCATTGAATAAATAGAATGTGCATATTACTTGATTATTCGATTATCTAGACAATTCTGCATTGATATTGTGAAGGTGTTGATTATTGGATCTGGGGAGACGCTAGTTGAAAATGATATTATTTTCTCTGTAACACCGAATGATCAAAATGGAGTTGGTAGTCCGTTTTTGATCTTTCTTCTGGAATTACTAAAAGAATAATTTAACGATTCCTAAAGTCAGTAACATGTATATTCGATATACTTATCCGTGATAGGAAACAATTCTTTCATGTCCTATTTTCTTTATCTTCTATGATTTGTGCAGAAAAAATTTAATTATCCGTATACACTTTACGAAAACAGAAAAATTCATGGAACACTTAGTGACCGAATAAGAAAGTTGTTTTTCTCAAAGTCCAACAAAACAGCTCAACTATTAAGAGTGTCGAAGTTCATCAAGGTCTCCATAAGGTAGAATACTTAAAAACTTCTTCTCTAGGTTCAGAATCACATGTATTGCATCGCTAGCGATAAAATGTCACTTGTTTGAGGACTTTATTAGTTGAATTTTCGTTAGGTTGAAAATGATGGCTAGTCTTATCAAGATGTTTCATCAAATGTCGATGCATTAAGCTCCAAATGGCGTAGCCATGTATATGTTATAGTTGACATGAAAATTTAGTTCAGATTGGAATAATAGATTTAATTAAAGATAGAAAAAATAGATACAAAAGAGAGCGTAGAAAATAAAAAAATTCGAAAATCAAAACGCAAATAAAATTATATGAACGATATGGAAATTTTTTTCTATGAGCTAGATTTAGCCAAACTATTTTCTAATTGATCATAGTTTAGATTTCTTTTTTAAATTGGTGACCAAAACAAAAAACTTTATTTCTTACTTTTCATTTATCTCCACGCGCTCTCATATCACTTGTATGAGTCATATAGTAACTAATGTATGTTATTGAACTGACACTTTAATATTAAAAGGAAATGAAACACTTCGTTGATTATGACAATAATGTTACATCATCAAATAAATACTTATCCGAAATTTACACTTTAAGAATTTAGTAGAATCTATTAATATCTAATTTTTTTCTCATCATTCTTTTATTTTATTGATTTAAGTTTTAATAATTGACACTCGCCACTATGAAACGGACAATGATTAGGCATAAATTACGAAGTTTCTTTTATATAAACTTATTCTTTTTAACGAAGAACGATTGCAGATAATAACACATCAAATGGACCACTCATATAAGAAACTTCTTTATCATTTTCATTAAAAATTAAAGAAAAAATATTTACTTTTTTCCCATACCATTCGAGATAAAAACTCGTTCCATTCCATTCCCATCTGCTCGAGACCCGTACTTCGAAATGACGAGAGCGAAAATCTCTTTCTTTATTTTCTTCGAAACATAGCGAAAATCTTTTGTTTTCTTTGTTTTCTTCGAATACAGAACGAAAGAAAAAAATCAATGTCCCTATGTCCCAATGTCCCGAGCATTGAAACAAACATTTATTTAGAATCTTTGTCATTTTTCTCTTCTCAATCATGAAAGATAGACACAATTTATCTTGGAAAACAAAAACGTCTTTTTTGAATCTGTATACTCAATCAAACTATGTCATATCACTCATTAACAAAATTTTATTTCTATGAATCGCTTTCTCATAACATTTATAGAATAGTCTACAATTCCAATCTCAACTAGACTCTAAACTGCACTGCCACATACATTCTGGAGATACTTATATAGTACAGGAAAAGTTGTTATTTAAATGAAAAATTATTTTGTATTTCGAAATGGATAGATTTGATTGCCGTTTTAACTTTCAAAAAGTTCGACGAGACCTGTCTTTCCAGCCTTTCGCTAGTACAACTGTTGAAAACTGTGAATTTTAGTCTCTTACAAAGAGATGATCGATACTTTAGATTATTTATAACTTCATTTGAATAAACATTCGTTTCTAATAGAGGATGAAATTTTTAAAAAGCTACCAGGGCTACTTTCATAGTCACATTGAACGGTTAAGAAATTTACCAGGAGAGATATAAAATATTGAATCCACAAATGACGCGAAGCAAAAATCTATCGTAAGCACGAATTTTTATCAGGCTTGCGACATCTATGGACTATTGAACGATTCCTGTTGATGTAATCGGTTTCTTTGATGCGAATAAAATATCAACATTGACTTAACACATACAAAAAGACATGTAGAACATCACTACAAGGCCTGTGCTGATAAATATGATTTCACTTCTGTGGGTTTATTTCTTTGTACGTTGTTTTGTAGCTACGTGCCGATTTACTATCATACAAAGTCCATTCTTTTTATATGAAGGAATCAGTAAAAGCAAAAAGAATGTAAGGAAATAAAAAAAAGAGGGAACACACGAACTAGTAGTTTCAGAAACAAGGTAGCCCAAAAACGGAACAAGAAAAGTATAGCGTGTTAAACTGATTAGCTGTATTTTATCATGAAAGGAGATAGGAGGCGATATTAGGTGATAATGGATGACACGAGAAGTTATATCCACAAGCAATATTGTCAAGAAAAAATTAAATTAGATAATATCACACTTTGAAATCAGTCGAAAATGTTAAAAATTTTCTCGCCAACGGTTCGTTCCATTTGATGTAACAGATCGAAATTCAAAAGATAATCAATCCTCCACCGTATCTACTGTATTAAACTGTCAGAAATCTGTAGGATTCAGATAGGTCTGCAACACATCCTGCAGTCCTAGTTTTCGCATACATCATGCTAATGTATAAACTGTCTGGCCTTTATTTTTTTGATAAACAGATTATTTCGTATCAAGTAGATTTTATGTATTATTTTTCTTTCTACAAATACATACAATGTCAGAAGAGTAAATTTCAGACGTAAGTGTTCCAATTCACAGCATAAAATAACTTATTTCTATGACAAAAGAAAGAAAGTAATGAAATGAAAGAATATGATCAACAAAGGGAACAGGAAAAAAAAGTTTAAGAACAATAACAAATGAAAACAAAAATGATTATCCATCGCATTCATCAATCATATTATCGGATGTCATTGAACCTCGTACAATCATGCTCAATGTCCAGACTTTTGTATCAATAAGACAACCGGTTGTTGGTGGAGACATTTTACATAGTAGAAACCAATTTTTATAATGCAGAGCAACACGCGGATGGCGAAGAAGAAAATCATAGAAGTATTCCGGTGCAATTGAATCCATCTAGAGTTTTAAAAAAGTCAATTAGATATTTTCGTTAATTTTATCAAAAGAATACAAATCAGGAAAGAGAGAAATTCCCGTTTTAGTGAGTAAACTATGTTTAAATATTCTACTGAATACGAAAGTTATTTCTTACCTTAATTCGATAATTCTTGTTTACGACTAGAATTGCTTCGTTATGTACGAAAAGTTGTCCATCAAGCATAGGAGAAGTTCGTGGAACTCTTTCCATTAGACGTGCTGCAACAAATTCTTCTTCAAAATCAGTTAATGGTGGAATATGTTTGGATACTAATTCACCAACATTTAATCCATTAGCACGAGTTGTTGAGCTAAGATATTCAACATCTTTACTTGTCGTACAAGGATAACTTGTTGAAAACTAAATTTTAAAAATTTTAAAAAATTTCAATCGACTACGAATGGCATATGTTCGTATCTTGTAACGATGATAAGTAAAAACATGCAATAAGTAGGAAATCACTTGTCCTGATAGAATCGGAATCAACTGCATAAAAATTTCGATTAACATGTATTGATTGATGTGCAATTTCGTTAAATAGAATAATTACTGCCCGAACTGAGAAGATCAAGTTATATCGTTGTCTTCTTCTTATTCTCATTATTGTTTACTGATATATAGATATCCCATAATCTTACAGCTCATTACAGTTGCCTTACAAAAAAAGTATCTAAGTTATCATTTATCTTGACAGACAGGCTGATTCTCATTCAGTTTATCTATCAATTAATGTTCTGTATATCAGTCATGCGCCAGGAGTCATGACATATGCCAGAAATAAACAATGTAAAGGATTGTTATTCATTCCGTTCGTGAAATTATAAACAAATTAAACTGGACATATTGACTAACAGATATATGATATCACATAGGTGAAGAAAAGGGTACGGTGCATCAGAAGATACGATCTAAAGTTAGAGGAAGTAAACTCATTATCTTTGACCTCATCTGAGTTAAAATATAACTGGTAGTTGTTAGACTTTACGCATTAAACAAGTATACTTTGACCGTTATCAATTAGAATCCGATCGATCAATCATCATATACCTATAGATCTCAAAGCGACCAATTCATTATCTGCTTGATCATTACTATCAACAAGTTCATACCAAATTTTATTTAAGTATTATCTTCATAAGAACGCGGGTTACAGATCAGAGCAAATTTGGCTGATCGATTACTATTCTTTAAAAAATTCAGAAATATCAACACTTACCCTTGGTTCTGATTTAACGCCAACCTGAAAATCAGTATTATCGAGATTTTCTACAGAAAATACATTAAAATCAGGCAGCTCCGATTTAACAGTACTGTTCATACAATGACGTGTAGTTGGATTCTAATAAATTCATATTAACATAAAAAGCAAAAAAAAGCAAATTTTCTAATTTCTTACCTTACAATACTCTTCAAGAATTTGAATATCATCATCATCATCATCATTATAATTATTATTCTTTCCATTACTATGATTTACTAAAATGAAGAGAAAAAAATTGTTTTCTTTAATTGATTTTAACAAAAGAAAAAGGAGAAAACTCACTAATTGGTAATGACAAATTAGTTGATAATGATTTTCGTTTATTCTTTTTTGGTAACACTTTATTTAATCGTATTGCATTGTGTTTACCACATAATTGACGATTAAAAGCTAGATTCGTGCAAGCATACACATCCCATGTACACACAAGTCTCCAACGACGACCGTCATATTTTTCGCGTCGATTATTTTGATCATTTTCAATATAGCGAATAGTATTTTTTGCAGGTGGTGATGTTAAATGAGGATGTAGTGTTCTCGGTGATCCAGCTAATTTTTGTAAAGAATTCGATCCTGTTGGTTCCGATAATAAGGATTGAAATATTCTATGAACGGCTAATGGCGAACAATGGGATTGATTCATTTGTTATTTCAAAATAAAACAGTGTCAAAAACAAATACACGAACGCTGCGCTTAAGAATTTAATAAGAATGGCGGAGCTTTCTGATGATTCAACGTGCGAACATGTATTGCTGTTGGTCGAGGATATTCGTTTGACTTTCTCTTTTCAAATATATCGATAGCTATTTAAACGAAGCAGAGAAAGAGAAAAAGAGAGAGAGAGAGAAGGAAAAAATATACATGTCAATAGAAGTTCGACCGTTATGACTGACGATTAACCAAACAGAATACACTATAGTGTCATATCCCGATTAGAATCGTTCTTTGTCATACTGATCCGTATGACTGATGGAAATTAAAGTTCATGTGAATCTTCAAAAAGAATTGAATCTTGTAAATATGACTGATAACTATACATCAAGATGATGTGATGTTGTAAAAATAAATAGATGTCAGACATTTTGCGATTCGATTTGTCTGTGTAATTTTTTTTGCAGCGCCTACTTCGACTCGATTTTACGTATATTCGTTATCTTTTTCTTATCTCATGTCAAGTGCGATATTAATTAGAAAGAATTCGTGAGAGAATGTCTGCGAATAAATATGCGCAACAAAGAAAACACTTGTTGTCATGTTATTGATAGACAGAAGAAGAGCGCCATGAGAAGAAAACTACGGTTTTCCTTACAACAGCATGTTAGTCGAAGAATTGAGACACAATACTATTGTAAGATTTAATTTAGTTACATATTGATATATCACGATACAAGAATCTAATTATATGGAGCGAGTTCTTGGAGAAATATTTTCAAAAGCTGACATGTCTTATTGACAGGATTAAGTTTATAAATCATATCGTAGTTAGAAGAGAGCATTCAGTTTATTCTACATTCTACAGAAATTTTCACAATATTGCATAAATTCGTGCTGTCGAGTGAATCGAGTGTTATTCAAGTTTGTCTACATTATTTCTACTGCATTTAATGTTGAAAAATTCAATACAATATCGATCGTTAATATCACTACTTAGGTGTGAAATGCGTACATTTTGAAGCCTCATGGTTTTTTTTTCTTTCGAGAAATAAATATAGGTGATAATTATATAGCATAGTCAAAAAGTTCTTGTAGTAATAACAGTCTAAAACTTCACCTTCATTACTTTTATTCATCATATTGAACTATTCTAGTAGGGACATCTGTTATGTATTGAAGGACCAATACAAAATTTCACTGATGCCTATCTATTCTGACAAAATTTCCACAATTATTTCGAACATCTCCGATTTTATATGTATAAACGGCGTTTATGCTCGCATACAAAAACTCGTTTTGTATTGCGTTTAATCATCAATAAAAAGTTGCCTCATAAACATTCAGAAACATATGCAAGATATTGTTCTCAGTCTGATTTGTCTTCTAGAGGAACTAAGACAATAACCAAAGAGCTCAACTCGATGCCTATTTGAAACTGCCAAAAGATATTCTAGAAATGAGTTGAAAGGGATGAGACTTTTTTATATGTAATGGAATTTGAATCTAAAATCAATCATAATAGATATGTCTGTGAAAAAATAAGTAGAAAAGAATGAAGAATAAATTTAACTAAGTATATATCTAGATGTACTTGACTATTATCTTGATATCACATATTATGATGATAGTAGGAATTTTTATTGAATCGTCTTCATCAATGATGCCGCGTAAAATCAAATTTAAATTTAAATATTTTTCTAGATTCAACAAGGCTAATGAGACATGTTTATGTCATTATTTGCCTATTGTATATAATTCTTGGATTGTTGATACTCAATATTGTTTTAGTGTAGTTTTTTAAATAATATATTCTTTGAAGTTTGTACTTAAGTGTAATATGTGCAACGACTTTATTTTTCATTATGAAAAATTGATGGATTATATTATGGTGTAATTTTGTTTTTAATTGAGGAAGTGCCTATTATTGTTGCTCTAATGCATTTAACATCATTTTGCCATGGGAAGAATTGTCATCACAATTCAATAGTACATGCCCATGCTCATCAAATATATTCATTACTATTAGTTCAAGCATATGTGAATTCATACGTTAATCTTGATGATTGGTATTACAAATTTAAAAAATAAACAATTAATCATACATTGAAAATTTTAAAAATCAAGGAATAGAATTATGTATTAAATGAACACGAATATAATTAGTTAATTGTATGAATTAAAAACTGAAAACGTAGAGACTTCTTATAGATTGTAAAAATCGTACGTCAAAACTTAGAGAAAAATGTTGTTTTGTTGAATTTTATACAAAGTTCCGGTGTTATGCCTTTTTTTCTCATCGGATAATGACTTTTTGTAATAGCTGATGTGGATTGAGAATTTTTAAATTGCTTCTAGTTGATAGGATTCAAATAAAATACGATGAAAAAATATAAAAAAAGACGAGATCAATTTAAGAACGAGTACTGCATAATGTAGTAGTGAAAAGAGAATAATTTTACTTTTTGGGTTAATAATAGTTGCCCAATGAATCATAAATTAGTTAAAGAGATGCTACAAATCGATTGAGTGTCCATTTACGGCTGAAGCTTTCATTTATTATTATTATTATTATTATTATTATCGCTCGACTATATGTCAGGGTAAGTTACTTAAAGTGTAGTTGGTAATCGGTGAATGTTTTATTCACGGATTGGTATCAATTCAAATGAATCCATCTGTAAAATACTGCAATTTCTTCTGTTTCGCAATTGAAAAATCTCAAGATTTTATTATTTATTTATGAAAGTCCTCTATCTTTCGAAAATATAAGTTTAGATGTTTCCCTTTTGAATTCATTAGATCTAAAAATGACTTGAATATAGGCGTCATAATAACTAATTTAGTATGAAATGGCAGGAAATATTGCACATACGATTCATAGTGTTTTCCAAAATATTATACGTTTCTTGAGGATCAATACGATCATCTATTTATAGAACATTTTCATAATGACATTCACCAACATACGTTCTATATCTGTTTCGACAGTGATAAATAAAATGACCGCGTACAAAAGAACGTACTTAAAAATTAACTACGATGTTTCATTATGAATAAACTTTATAAATAGCTACAGGCTTTTTTTTTATGAAATATCGAAATAATAGCAATATTTTATCATAATATGGAAGCAAATTGAATATTTAAACTATACAGAATGATTAATATAAATTTATTTTCTCTCTACGTAAGCAAATTCAACAGCATAACCTTTTCCATTCAAAAGTCTTCAATTTTAATAAGCCGAAAAGACTTGTCGTTTTTTTGTAACAGTAGACTGATATTCTATTTCATGAATGTAATGTTCTTGCTAAATCATAAGCCGCGCATGCAGCTTAGATGCTTGTGACGATAAACAAAGTCTTAATATTAAAATGAAATTCTCTTTTTTTCTGCTTTTATTTATATTTGGGATTCAATAGAAACTTGATGATGACACAATAAAAAGTCGTGATCGTCCATTTCAAATGTCATTTAACAAATTATGGAACAGAAAAGTGATGACCTATTTTATCTTCTTCGGGATAGTGCTTCTTAGTGTTAATGGAAGTACTTATTTCTTGATGGCTTAGCTACAAGATGTTTTAAAGGGCCTTGATGTTTCTTCTAATAACTGTTTTAAAATTAAAATAACAGCTTGATCTTAAGGAATTTTTGATTCATTTCACATTTTTTTTTAAATTCTAAATATAGCATTTAATCATTTAGTAACGTATTCTGAATATTATAGGGCATGAATAGAGCTCAGAGAGATAAATATCAATGATTCTTTAATTCTTGATTTTTGTTTTAGATTTCATATATTATTTAAACAATTTTATTGGCACAAGAAAATAGACAACAGAATTTTCGTATTTAATTTATTCAAATACATTAAATGTTCATGAACATAGGATTATTCATACAGATGAGCTATGAAATGCTTCTAGCTTAAAACTGACATCTGTAAAAAAAAATAAACTCTTATTTAATTGATTCCTTTGAGATTCAGTTTGTCTCCATTATTTACAACCCATGTACCATCATCATCACTTGCATTCTGATTTGCACCATCACTACTGACATATTTATCAAGCGATGTTATAATACGTTGTGCTAGTTCTGGTGATAGACGAGTTGGTGTTGATCTATTGGAATTTACACAATTGTTGTCAGAAGGTTTACAAATTTTGCCATAAATTAATTCACGAAATAATTCTTCATTTTTTTTACCGGTTTTTTGATCGAGTTCTTTCAGATCATTTAACGCCATTTCAATAGCTTGATCAGAAATAAATGCTTTGGCATGTTTGTTATGAATAAGAATATTGAGTAGCGAGTATACAAGTGGATTATGAGATGCATATGATCTATAGAATTTTAGACCCACAGCAGCTTTCCGATAAATAGATGGAGCAGGAAATGCAGCATTGACCAGCAAACAACTTGGAATGAAGAGTAGACAGAATATTCGAAGAAACATTAGAATTCTTGTGCGGTTGATAATGAAAAGTCAAAGGGATAAGTTTCTCTATATATAATTTTGATATGGATGATTCAGTTCTATAAAGTAAATGATGAATGTAAAGAGAGTTCTGGATACTTAAATTAACTGAAGCAAATGTTATTTTTTTTTTCATTTTCCTCAATAAGGGAATGAAAGAGAGATATATTAAGAGCGAAAGAGACAAGGAACGTCACTGATGTTATGTGACAGAATGAAGAAAAAGTAAACTTCATGGGACTCGAACCCTCACCTTCCGCTATCCAGGCAGATGTCCTAATCAGTTAGACTAGAAGCACATTTTAATCTTCGTTTAGCGTTAGTAAATTAGTTGTATCACTAGCGCTAACAGTATCTTAGCATATAGCTAATATATTATTTAATAAAAGAAAAAAAATCATTGATAAAGCGTCTAATTTTATATCTAATAATTGTACATAATATATCAAGCTGCATTTTTGTGAATTTTCCTATGGAAAAATTCATCAGAAAGTTTTTCTTAGGCCTTATTGAAACCTACATGGGAGTGTTTTTGTAAACCACGAATAGAGCTTTTGCCGTTAAATCAACGCGATACTAGTTAGACTAAACAAAAATTACTTGACAGATCCATAAAAGCTGATTTCGTGCGTCAGCATATGTTTTGGGATATTTTGGAAAATAATTTAGACGTAGACATTTTTTTCCCATGGAGGAAATCAAATAAATAAATGTTTCCCTGTTATAATAACAGCCTATGGTTCATATAAAGGTTTATGTTCTTCACTTATTAATAGCATATGTCACAACCGATGTAAAACAAAATCGTAAAATATCTGATTATAATTGATTTTTATACGATTATAAATCTATTTTAATGGCACTATTATAATCTGATTTTAATCAAATTTTCCAATCTTAAAAGGCAGATTATTTTTGATTTTGATTGTATTTTAATGAAATTTTAATTGATTACCTACAAAACTATTATAATTAATTAAAATAAAATCAAAATCAAAAATAATCTGCCGTTTGAGGTTGAAAAATCTGATTAAAATCCAATTAAAATAGTGCCATTATAATAGATTTTTAATCTGATTATTAATCCAATCTTTTTTACATGGGAAAAGGCCAGTGTTTAATTTAACCATAGAATATATATTATTGTTCAAATGAAAACACTGTTTCGATCAAATGATAATTAATAAATATTAGTATTTTGCGTGTTTAATTGAGGTGCTAGATAAACCCATTGTTCTTTTGTCCGCATTGCGTGCGTTAGTGAAAAAATAGATTCGACTCTTTCTTTATTAAGATAGTAGGAAATACTTTTATCTTAGCAGTAGATTTCATAATAGCATTGTTTTATTGCTGGTACTAATTCTATTGAGAATTCCACACTATGATGAAATCTAGCGACACTATTCAACGGTTAACATAAGAACAGCGTAGGAAAACAACAATATGAATAATCTGAAGTACATATTTATTCTTAGACGAGCACAAGATGACCTCACTCTAAGAAGAACAACCGATCTATACCCCCTTGCACCAGTACTATTTAATTTTACTTAATGAAGTTTGGTATTGGTTTGATATTTTCCTAGAAAAGCAATCATAGAAATCATGTTCGTACGAATAACGAATACTTTTGACAATTAAAAATTTCACTCCAGAAAAAAATAAATATTCTAGATATTAGTTTCCTATGAAGATTATAAATAAAATGTTTTACATCTAGTTCAATACTTTATATGTTGAGGGTTGAATTTTTAAAGGTTCTCTCACCGACTATTTCATTATACTTGAAAAGTATTAAAGAGTCATGTTTCTATTCAATTCGATCTTACAAAATTCTGAATCAAAATTAAAAGCAATCGCGCAACTATGCATCTGGCAAGCGTTACATAGACTATGCTAATTTTCTGTTAACTGACTTTGAAGAAAGACAAAACCTTTCTCTAATGAAATTTTACATAGTATATTAAGGACATTGAATGCATTCAAATTTAGTGGCGCAAACACTAAAATGTTTCAATGGTTCAATTAAAAAACATTCTAACCTTCATAAATATGTTTCTGTTGTATTCAAAACGGACACAAACGCCTATCGAAATGTTACTATGCTTGGTTAATGCATTGCTTATATATATTCTTGTGAATCTCTTGGAAAGAGTGCTTAGAGCGTAGGATGTTTCAATTGTATGGCAGAATATTGTTTTGGTTATGCAAGCTCTCCTGGGGAATTCATAATGGAGAATGATTGATGGATCCAGAGAAGTCTAAAGAATTTTTCTTATTTATTTCGTAGGAAAACAAAATGTGCACTCAATAGCATACACTGCTAAGTATCTACAGATTATTGCGTGCGAAGGATATTTTCGGCAAACCAAATTAAAATCAGTTTCAACTTTTGTTTTGAACGATCATTTATTCTCTAAGGATTGTCATAATTTATTTTTATTTATCTATCCTTACCCCCTTACGTTTAACTTTATTGTGAATGGATTCTTTTTGTTATAGTAATTTTATTTAGGGAAAAGAAATATGGAGACCATTCAGTTTTCGAAAACAATAGCATTATTGTCTTGTGAATTCTTAATTTATTTTCAGTTTTTTAATTGTATTCTATTGGCGAGAAATACTTTAAGTAAAACAAATTGATTGAACAATAGAGATTCCAGACACAAACAAAACAATAAAGTCAATGAATAATAAATAATTCACTCCTCTTGTTCATACGATAGTGATAAGACGTACATTTCTCTTTGCACTTCAGTACATATACGCTCCGTATATGTGCACGTGTTGAGTCACGTTGAAGAATTATTCATTATATTAAAATTAAAATTAAATAATATAATATAATATAATTGGTAACCAAAAGTTTGATAATCCAGGTTGATCAAAACGGACTTGTTTACGGTCTGTTTATCGACGGTAAACGATGTCAAAACGGTATATTTACGGCAGTAAATAGGCCGTATTTACCCGTAATACCTGGCGCAGTAATACGGCACCGTAAACGCGACTGAATTTTCATGGTTTACGGCTGTTTGTGCTCCGTACTCTCATGATAATACGGTCCGTATTACTGCGCCAGATATTACGGCAAACTTTCGCCCGTAAAATAGTCGTAAAGTAACCGTCAATGGCCGTATACGGACCGTACTGTTCGACCTGGGAATGAGTTATGAAACATGAAAACGTGTCTGCAATGCAGAAAGATCTAATATGTGAAGTATTTATTGGCATGCAACAGAGAATACAACAACATAATGACAATGAGAAAAACAAAATGCCACCATCAACATTAACACGTCATACTACAAATCACAGTCAAACTAACGATGATCAATTTACAGATGGACCTAGTGAAACTACTCGTCAAGTGAGTACGACCTGCCAGCATGAGTGCACAAAAGACTCGTTGGAGTACTCTTGAAATTTTCTGTGTATCTTTAGTGTTCGTGTACTCAAGTGAGCACTCGCATAAGTTAACTTTCTGAAATTCACTCGTATACGATAGTCTGAGTACTCAAAGTAGTACTCGCTTCTGTGTTTCGACAAAACACCAATGCACTAACATGTAAAAAGTTAAATTACATTGTATAAAAACAAAATGTGATGAAATCAATTAAAAAACTATCAAAAAACTATTTCGTGAATATGTTCATTCTATCCTTCATTTTTAGTAGATGATTCATTTTTGTCTACATAACAATTGGATATATCAAATCAATTATATTTCATTTTGTGAACAGAGACACGTACATATACACACACACTTTTCATTTTCAACTGTTTAATTTTCGAATTAAACAAAGTATGTCTTTTCATTGTGTGCAAACAATGATCTAATAACTTTTAATTTCTAAATTTCAGATAAAATTTTGTTTCAGATTAGTTAAGCTTTTCTCTGGCTACGAAATAGCATCGATACTTCATGTCAGGAAGTTTCTTTTTTTTGTATAAGGATCGCTTTAGCATAAATTTGTTTTCATACACGAATCGAATCAAAAATTCATTCAATAATTTTTAAATTAATTGTTCGTGTTACTGAGTATACTGTATCGTAACAAATATTAGTATTCTTTTTTCTGTAGTTTTTTGTATCTGTGAATTCATAGTGATCAAATATCTTTTTCGAAAACATTGACAATTCATTTGTCTTCAATAATATTTTATTATCCTCAATATGTGTGTTAAGCGTTGCTTTTTTGAAACATAATATTTATTTGTGTAATTTATAGACAATAAAATAATGGAGTATCTTCTTATTATAAATCATTTCATTGCACTAATATACTATTGTTGATAGGTTAACGAAATAGAATTCATTTACCCAGGTCGAACATTCCGGCCACCGGATCCCGTAGGATACTCCAGGGAATATGCGGGAAAGTCACCATATCCTGCAGGAAAGCACGGGAAATTGCTGGAACATGGAAGCAGTATTCTGGTCAAAAATACGGCCGGACTTTTCCGGCGAATTCCTGCCAAGTTCCGGTGCTTTCCGGCAGAAATTGATTGGAAATCGCCGGAAAAAATCCGAAAAATTTCCAACCTGAATACTGCTTCCACAAAATCAACGGAGCAACCCGGAACCGGCCTTTTCCAGGTCGGATTGTTCGACCTGGGTAGTATTAAAATCTAGTGAACAAAGTATAGATGAATAAGTAAATCTTGTAAAAAGCTACCAGAGTACTCGGAAGATACGTGGGTAGTACTCATATAAAACTCAGTTTTATGAGGCGAGTATTCAGTAGTCGTACTCAACCGGTCAAAATCTAGCTCGAGTACTACTGATGAGTACTCAAACCCCATGAGTACTTATGAGTACTCAAACCCCATGAGTACTTATGAGTACTCAAACCCCATGAGTACTTATGAGTACTCAAACCCCATGAGTACTTATGAGTACTCAAACCCCATGAGTACTCATGAGTACTCGTGACATTTTCTAGCGTGAGTACTCTTTGAGTACTACCCTATGAGTACCGTCACTATTGGAGGATGATGACATTGAATTTCAACAAATAAATTCTAATAGGCAAAGAAAAAAGCGAATTAATAAGGAAAATGACCAACGAATCCATGCACGAACTATAATTAATTCAAATATTAATAATAATAGGAACTTACAAGCAACAATAACAACAATAAATAATAATATTATTAAAGATAACTCAATCAGAGTATCTAAGCACGCATTAGATTATGCATCTGAATATCATCATCAACCGATTACAATTGGAGTAGCTGCCTAATTCGAGTTCGAATATAAATGAAAATTTCCGAAAATCCTATTGCTCACAAGCAAAAGATAAAGATTAAATTTCTCCTAAATATAAATTTTATAATTCGAAACGAGGCTGTCATATAATACAGGAAAAAAGCAAAAGTGTCAAATTTATCCTAAATATTTATAAATTTTATAATTCGAAACGAGGCTGTCATATAAATACAGGAAAAAAGCAAAAGTTTCAAATTGATCCTAAATTTAAATTTTGTAATTGTAATTGATTGATGTATTTAGAGTTTTATGCTATCAGGAAGAGGGCGTAACTGTCTAGTGCGGTTTATGTTTGAGTGTGGTCGTTGGAGCGTAGGATCGCTTGTCGTGACGAAATACGTAGTTTGTTTCGTTCAGATTGATTTTGTTTATGTTTAATTTACGTTGGCTATCATTCAAGTGCAAGTTTGTTGTTGTATGTTTATTTACGTATATCTGGATGCGATATGCTTTACTTCTTTTGTCTGCATGGGCGTGGATTTTGGTCGGATGTCACAGATTATACTTAGCTGACGGTTATATATTTGTTCTCATTGTGAAGAAAAGATCGAGGTGTGTGGCTATTCGTGTGTGTTTGACTATATTTGAATTCTTTTCTTTCTCTGTTTTCGTCTCTTTCTCGACTGGTATAAGTATTGCTGTTGAGACACAGTGATGTGATCAGTATGAAATCATCTTTTTTTTGTAGTTATACAGGCAATGATTTGATAGAATTTCTTTTCTTTAGGTTATCTGGTGATGTTCAGTTTTTCCGTATGTTACGTTGGCTGTAAGGTCACATTCTGAACATGCTAGAAGCATACCTGACTATGCTAGAAGCATACATTAGCATGCTACAACGATACCTGACGGTCCTAAAAGCATACCAACCGTTCCAATAGGTATTTCTATGGATCCTCAAACTATACCTCACTGTGGGACTCGATTGTTCGAAAGTCAGGTAACATCATCAGAATAACTTCTGGTTCTACGTGAAACCGCAACAGCATTCGGAAAGTGGGTATGCGATACCTACTCTATCTTTCTTCTTTAGGGTTATCAGCAAATGTGATGACGATCGACTTGGCCGTGTACACAGAGACCAATTTTGGTCGCGGCATTGCGAGGGACGCTGCGCGCCCCCATGCCGTGACACTTTAATGAAGGTGTCTGTAACGTGACAGAAGTTGAAGTGAGGATGTTAACAACATGTAGAAGTTAGCCTTTACTAAACAGTTTCCATATTCTGTTAGACGACTGTCAGGATTGTTGTTGTTGAATATTCAAAGTTTGACTAAGGGAGAAGTTTTTACCCGGCTTAGTAGTAGACCAAGCATATTTTAACATTTGCAGTTTCTGAAACGCCAATCAGTGGTGCCTCAGTTCGAATTATAAAATTTATATTTAGGATAAATTTTAAACTTTGCTGCTTGCTTAAACTATATGAGTGCCGGACTTTTTATTTTCGAATCGAATTTGTGTAGTTGTACCTTGATTTATATTCAAATTCGAATTAAGCATCTAATATACAATTGAATGTGATCCAAAATTAACAGATCAACGTGAAGGATCAAAATTGATTCAAGCATTCATTAATTACATCAAAATAGATTTTTACAACCAAAACATATCATATAATAAACCGTTATTGTTTGATCTACGGTGGATTGACGAGGAGGGCAATATTCGAGCAATAACTAAATCTGCAGAAATTGCTGTTTATTTATCACAAGTAAAACGATATCCAACAGAAATAAATAGCATAAAAATAACACCACATCCACCAAAACACCTTCCTGTTCAACACACAGCAATACTGAAATGGGTGAAAAACTCCATCTCCTCTAGTGATCTAAAAGATTAATTAAAAACTAAATACAATTCGTTATTTTTAATTGAAGAAATTATGGGAACCATAAATGATCGAAATCGACCTCTTATAATTGAATTATTAGATAAAAAAGAATATAATGTTATGTTAAATAGTGGTAAAATATCTATCTTTGGACAATTATATGATATAGATGAATTCTTACCATCACCGAAACTTTTAATATGTTCTAAATGTAATCAACCTGGTCATGTAAAAAATGATTGTAAAAGTGCAAGTTTAACAATTTAAGCTGGAAATATTAAAAGAATGTGTTCAAAATTATAATGACACCCTTAAAATCCTGAAAAATCCTGATGGAAATCCTAAAAATCACCTTAGTTTTCTGGAAAACCTTTTAAATTAAATATTAGGAAAAAATGCTATTCTTAATACAAGACCCCTGGAAAATTTTTACGCTGGAACATAATAGAAAGCCCGGAGTCTTTTACTGTGAGGGGTGGGGGCTATTTTTCTTGTGAGGATTAATAAATTTTATAAGTATATGAAACTATCAATACAACGGCATCGATTTTGAGAAACAGCTTATTTATGACCACCAGATAATTAGATTTCAAGTATTTTAGGTAAAATTGCACTAATTAGGTGCTATGCGAATTCAAAAATAACATTTATCACATTTTCAAACTGAAATTAAGACAGCAAAAATGTGATACGCGAGATGAAAGCTTTCAGATCTGTGTTTTCAAATCTTTAATCGGATGTATTTTTTCTTTCAGGAATATTCATCTGAAATGACTATTGTGTAAGAGGTTAATGATCCTCTTACAACTACTGCAGATGACTACGTACGAAAAGACTGTTATTAACTAAATTTGTTCGTTCTTCATCGATCTACCGATTCCATGAATCAGATCAGCTTTAGCTGATATTCAAGGTTCATCTTGAACAATTTTATATTCCTTCAATAAAATGTTTGATCTAATACAAAACCATAGACGTTACATAATGTACACTTTTGAGAAGAACTGTAAATAATGAGAATCAAACATTCAATCCCAGGTCGAACATTCCGGCCATCGGATCCCGTAGGATACTCCAGAAAATATACGGGGAAGTCATCATATCCTGCAGGAAAACACGGTAAATCGCTGGAACATGGAAGGAGTATTCCGGTTAAAAATCCGATCAAACTTTTCCGGCGGATTCCTGCCAAGTTCCGGTGCTTTCCGACAGAAATTGATCGAAATCTCATCGGAAAAAAATCCGAAAAATTTCCAACCGGAATGCTGCTTCCACAAAATCCACGGAACTACCCGGATCGGTCGTTTCCAGGCCAAACTGTTCGACCTGGGATGGGGAACTAAACAACAACTGATGATAAAGTAGTCGAAAAAAGATTACGTATCAATGAAAATCTCTCTACTCTGAATGCACAGATTGATATTGATAAATTTTTAATTGGTAACAATTAAAATCATAATTAAAATGAATAGTAACACGCAATAAGATATTGCGTTGTATTTACAATTATTTGGGAAAAGGTTTTCGAGCTACTTTGAAATTCAAATCAATGAAACCTAGGAGATGACACAAAGATTAAGTATCTCTAGTTTCGGTTTTTTGCTAATTTTTCGCATTTTCATTTAAAAGTAAATTGTATTTCAAAAGAGTGTTTGAGCCAAAAAAAATTGATTTATTTTTTATGTAATTCCTATGAAGACAATTAGTCTTTTAGCATTATGAAATATAAAATGAATTAATTTTTCATAATCAATATCAAACTCTAGTAGATTTATTTAGATAATGCTAAACAGTTTAAGTGAAAAATATTACATAAGAATCTCTATAATATACGGTGTATGGTCTCATAGTGCCGGTGAACTTATTTACTTATAAAATTGGTTAAAAATATTCATTTTTCTTAACGAATGAAGATTTGTCGACACATCGTATACTTTTGTATGTAGCATATTACATGAAGGCTACCAAAGACAAAACTACCTTATCAGTTTATTTTTCGTATCATCATATCAGATAGAGTTGAAGTATGACGATTTTGCATCCAATAATAACGGATGCTTGCTATTTTTTGGTTGTTGTTGTTGCTGTTGTTCAATGTAGTAGCCATAATAATTTCAATGATCCTTTTGGTAAACATCATTCCATGAAAACTTTTCCTAGCCCATATGGTTGTAATCGATCATTGGGAATTTCATTTCCTTCAATATCATTACCAATAATATATTCAACGGAGTTGAATGTATCATCAACATTTTACATTAGCAATGAACAAGTCATGGTCACTTGGCCAGCAACATATTCGTCATGTGATGATGATTTTATTGGTATCTACTTTATTGATATTCCACTTCTGATAGGTGAGTTTTTCGTATTATCATAATTTTTTATTTGGCAATCAAAACTTCTTTTACAATTCGATTAGGAGCATGCGATTATTTTGATTATGAATTTATTCAAACGAACCAAACAATTATGTCATGGCAAATGATTAATTTGCATCGTCCTCTTGAATTTCGTTATTATTCACGTGACAAGAATTGTTCAGGGAATTATTCGCTTATGGCAAAATCTGCCATTGTTCAATCGTTCAATTACAATGCACCAGAACAAATTCATTTAGCTTACGGTGATCAAATCGATCATATGTTTGTTTCATATGTAACGAATTCTTCGGAATACGTATCTGAATGTCAATATGAATTGGGTCCATCATCGCTTCAACGGCGAGTCCAAGGAACAACAATCACTTATAAAGCATCGGACATGTGCAACGGTCAAGCCAATATTCCGGGTCCAAAATCATTTATCGATCCTGGTTTTATTCATACAATTATTTTCGAAGATATTCGTCCAGCAACAACCTATTTTTATCGAGTAGGAAACGAACAACATGGGTGGTCGTCAGTACTTTCATTCACAAATCGTCCTGCTGATGATTATAATGCGAAAGTATTATTAATAGCTTACGGTGATATGGGTGTAGCACCTACTCAACCCGGTGCCAAATCGACTGTGGATCGAGTTCAAGCACAAGTATTAACGAATAATATCACATGTATATTACATATTGGCGATATTAGTTATGCACGTGGTATTGGTGCACTTTGGGATGCGCTTATGACTCAAATCGATCTAATTGCATCTCATGTGCCATATATGGTAGGCATTTGAAATCATGAATATGATCATATTACAGGAGGCGATAAAGATCTAAGTGGAGCACCTGGTCCTGGAAGTTTTCGACCATTGTAGTAAATAATTTTTTGCACATTTGATTTGAGATATTCCTTTTGTTTTTCTTTTATATGCAGGGGCAATTATGGTAATGATTCAGGTGGTGAATGTGCTGTCCCTATGGTACGTCGTTTTCATTCACCATCGAATGGTAATGTTCTCTTCTGGGATAGTTTCGATATGGGTCCTGTTCATATTGTTTATTATTCCACAGAACATGATTTTCTTCCTTCATCAACACAACATACTTGGCTTGAACATGATCTGAGTTCTATAAATCGTACTTTTACACCATGGTTAATTGTTGGATCACAACGGCCAATGTACTCTTCGATCGTACGCGTTGTTGGGGATCCCATAAAAGGCATGTTACGAAAGTCTCTTGAGCTCATGTTTTATCAATATCACGTTGATATTAATCTTTTTGCATATATACATTCTTACGAACGATCATGTCCTATGTATCAAGAACAATGTGTTGATGATGAAATTACACATGCATTAATCGGAATGGCTGGACACAATTTAGATTTTGATACATACACAGAAGCTAAATGGAGTTTATATCACGATCAACAATTTGGTTATACTCAAATTTCAGATAACCGAACACATTTGCACTACTCCAACCATAGAAATGTAGACGATGCCGTAGTTGATCATTTTGACTTGACAAAATGACTTTTTCACTCACCATAGAGCCTCATTTTGCTATGATAGTGTTACAAGATTTGTGTTCAGTTCATTTAATTTTTCATATTTATAATCCAAATATTTTCCAGATACAGAGAATATTGATAGAATTTCTTGTATCGAAACAGAATACTCTAGTAAAAATAAATTTCTCTTTGTTGAGAGTGTGAGACTTATTTGACTCGCCCAAGACGGTTCCTGGTCGCGAGTACGTACGTGAATATTTAAGCAAATGGAAAAAATCTAATTAAGTAATCGATTCCATTTTTATTCGACAGAGAAGAAAAATTTATGCGCGAGTTTATTCAAGAGAAAATCGCTGAACACGATGATTATTATGAACAATAACATACATATGATTGTACCGATCGAAGGACAAATCCATGCTCCAGTTGAACTGATTTGCTCCTGATCCTTGATCATTTCTACCCACAAACACAGTGCCTTCTTTTACTCATTGAGGCCAACGCATTACACAATTATTGCGTGAATCTGCCACATAGATAGTGCCTAACCTATCAACGAGGAGTCCGTTAGGATACGAGAATTGTGTCATAGAGCGTGTTCTTGAACTTTACCTCCAGCGACGACGATGCCTACTTTTGCACCTTGATTCCATTTCATTATACGATGATTGTTGGTGACTGACACATACACATTCTGTTCTCGATCAACAAAGAGATATTTTGGCCAGTTGAGTTGATTGAGACCATCTACATTCACATTGCCACCAGCCACGTGAGTGCCATTCTTGTCTCCCAATTTATATCGTCTCGCTTCATTTCCTTCAACGTCAGAGACGTAGATATATCTCTGTTCATCCATAGCCAATCATACACATTTGATATTGTTGGCGACGCTGTCTAGTTTTGTTATACCACTACTACGTGACCATCGTACAACTTGCCGATTCTCATAATCACAAATAATGAGACTATCCGTCTCTTTGTCAATCAAAACATCAGTTGGATGCTTCAATTGATTACATTCGTTTCCTTTACCATTGCCAGAAACGAAGATTTTATGTGTCAACAATGATCACTGTTTGATCGTCATCAACGAACAGACCTTCAGACCGATGGAGTTGATTGGTGATATTCCTTTGCCCGCTGCCTCCAGTAACAGTCACTCCATTCTGTGCCCATCTTGCATTAGGAGGAATATTGGGCATAACTGCAAGAAACAAAATAATAGAACAGAAGGTCTTAGTCATCTCATTCTAATTCTCTCTCGCTCAGGTTAGTGTTAGAAACGTGGCATGAGCTTTTGAAAAGAACTCGAGGAATGTTTGCTAATCTAATCGAATAACATAATACAGTTCATCAGTAACAGAACTCATTGCTTAAAGCAATCGAATACTTAAGTAGAAAATATTCAGAAATACATAGAGAACTGTCAGGAGCTCACGGAGATTCTTAGATAGATTTTTTTTAGAAAACTTACAGAATTTCAATTTTCTAGTCAGACTTGAGAAAGACCAGGAAAACGGTCTCTATCAGAATTAGTCAATGAAAAGTCGAAAGGTTATTGCTAATGATCCTTAGAGAATCTTAGGGAAAACTATGTTAAACCTAATTAGAAAATTCTGAGGATTTTCTTAGCGCCATGTTTTGTAGGAAACCTCAGAAAGTTTCAGAGGACTTCTCAATGCTAAGTCTCGTGAAAACATTTTTTACAATTCTATAAGAATTATTGCAAGATTTGAGTTTGAAGGAAATGAGTGAAAAGTTGGATTAGATACAAATATTTTCATAATCTTTATGAAAAGTAAAGATGAAGCTATTAGATTTTCTTTGATAGTATTGTGTTCGGCTGTGTGTAATTACTATTTTGGTGTCCCTCATAAATTCGTTCTCGCTCATTTATTTACATATATCTTTCATATTGGTCCCAATCAGTAACCACGTGATGTACTTTCCGATGGAAGGAAGTAATGCACGAAAAGCATTTAGATATGTTTGTCCAGTATGAATTTCACATTCGTATAAAGGAAAATTACAAAAAAATCGTCTTTTGGAAAGGGCAGAAAACACATTTACCTATTTATTTTTTCTCAAAATACAGAAGAAGTTTCTTGCAAAACATTTGCGCCACGGCAGTTGTTTCCTTCATCTATGACCTTACGTTCAACTGGTAGATAGATTTTGCTAATAAATGCCCTGGAATCTTGTCGAATGGTGAAATCAGGTGGATTGTTCAGTGTTGCTTTTAATCTTTCTAATTCTTTTGTCCAATGCTCTATGCCAGTGCCCATGAAAGCACAGTCATCAGGATCCTGATGAACTTCAGCATTTAAACTTGTCAATTGCATTTCTAATCGAGGAATAAAATTTTTGACAGATGAAAGCAATTCCTCTCTTGTTTCTTGTGCCACTCTTCTGGTTTTGGCAATCGATTTCGTTTCCCATTCATCAATATTTTTCATTAATGAATGTTTTTGTGGATCATGTGCTAGTATTTTAATTTCTTCGAGGAACTGATTACAATCACGAACCACTGTCAGTAATTTTAAATTCAGATGATTACGATGTTGCTAATAATGAGGGCCACAATATAGTACTTTTGGACATCCTAAACACGTCAATATTGGTTTTATTTTGCAATCTTTCTTGTAGCAAGACAGATTCGTTGCCGTCGCCATATCGTTAGTAGTAAGAGCGAGAATAGCCACTTATTGATGAATGAAACGAAAAGAAAACGATACCATGTGTTCAACATCATGCAAACAAGCGAGTCATGTTGTGTAATTATTTTCAAAAAATACCCAAAATTCAACGCAGAAAAAAATTCTGACTGAAGTCAACTGTTCACAGGGGCCAATCTAAATACTGAACGAACAAAGAGATCAATCCTTAACGCTCCATCGTAAATAACTATTGTTAGATAATGTGAGCGAATTATGTGGTCACGTTTTTTCTTACATTCTTGATACCTAAAAGAATTTTTCGATGCTGAAATATTAAGTAAATTCGGAGGCGAGTGTGGATGCATCAGTGTCAGTATATGCATATGTACAACCATACCTTGGTCAATTGATTTTTTCAAAATTTTCGCTGTATATTTTTGCAACATGATCACACTGTTGATTGTCTATCTTTTTCTTTAATAAACCTAATAAAATAAGCATACTATTGAGAAGTATGCTAGCATATTCATGGGAAAACATGTATAGATGTGCTAGACGCCTTAATGAAGATAAAAAATTCTGTTTCGTTAGCGAAACTCTTTTTCTCTGCAGTAGAAAGATCAAAAGCAGTTAATAGTTGCGACTTTTTTTCAAAAATTTCTTGGTTCACAAGGCTTTTCGAAGAATCCTTTTTCCCTGGATGTTTTAACACTGTTTCAGAAGAATGCCATGATTCTCTAAACTGCAACAACTAATTAAAAGCTAATTGCACAAGTTTAAAAAACTTGAAAATATTGATATTCATTAGTATATTATCAGTACAGACAAGCTCATTATTAAAACGTATGGATACATACATGTATCTAATCGAAGTATTTTATTCGGCGAAAAAAAAAGAAGCTTTACCAGAAAAATATGCCCAAAACAACGAGAAACTCACAACTTATTTCGGGAAATGTAAAGAGTTTTTTCTCTCTTTAAACAACAACAGCAGCAGCATTATGAATAGATGAATTGGCAAAATAAAAAGCAATATCGTTCGAAGGTAAACAAACTTCGTTTGGAGTTGGTCGATCCCTTTTCTTTCGTTTATAAATTAATTTCCAATATGTTGTATGAATATATTGAACCAATTTGCAATATTTATTTTTGCTAGCTTCTTTGGCTAATAACCATCGACGCATTGTAGCATTCACACCTAAGACTTCTTCAGCTAGACGAAGATTTTCACTTAGCGATCGTTCAGTCATACCGGATGTCTAAAATAAAGTATCAATAATTAAGTTAAAAAAAAACTTTTCTCGATAATTTTTAGAAAAAAAAGAAGTCTTCGTGGCTATCTATATACTATACGAATATCTTTTTTATAGATTAATAAAGTCGGTCACGAAATATTCATCAGGAAATTCTTTTTCTGAAAGAGAATATTAATGTTTATGACCTTTTCCAAAAGAACAATATTCCATAAGATAATCTTCTTATCTAATTAAATAAATGTGAACTACTCAGTCAATCCAGTACAAATCAGTCGATGCAAGATTTTATTCATTAGTTTACGAATACACTTGCTTAGTAAGAGGGAGGAAAGGGGGGGGGG